CTCACAGCTCCCACTGAATAAGTCAGGGGTGGGCAAAATGGCTCATCCAGCTGGCAGCTGAACTCCATTTTCCAGTGGCCCCTGCCTGCATGGCTTGGGCCAGTCTCCATGGAGACCCCAGCCACACCTGCATGGGAAATCTCAGGCTGCGGTGGCCATGGAGACCAGCCTCAGCTGCACTGGTAGCACACGCAGCAGAGCTGTGCAAGGGGCTGCTCCGGAGCCTCTGGGAATTTGCAATGGAGGCAGCTTGCTCTGGAGCCAGGGCAGAGCCACAATCTGTAGCCTGCATGCTCTGGGCAGGGGCACACAAGCAGGGGATCACAACTCTACCCCAGCGGTGATCGCCTGGTATGGACCCAGAGCACAGCCACAAATCTCCTGCTTGTGTGCCCCTGCCAGGAGCATGCAGGCTACAGATCGCAGCTCTGCCCTAGCTCCAGAGTAAGCTGCCCCTACTGTAAGTTCCCAGAGGCTCTGAAGCAGCCCCCTGTGTTGCTCTGCTGCTGCGCGCTGCCAGCACAGCTGTGGCTGGTCTCCATGGCAACACCAGCCTGAGCTTTCCTAGGCAGGTGTGGCTGGAGTCTCCGTGGAGACCAGCCCAAGCCATGTGGGCAGGGGCAGCTGGGAAATGGAGTCCACAGCTGCCCAGATCCAGTCCACGGGCCAGACTTTGCCCATCCCTAGGATAAGTCATCCCATTGAAAAGAACATATGTTGTTCTTTGTTATGAAAATGTAAAAGAGCCATGATGTCCCAGAGAATTCAGCAATTATTCCATAGCCCATTGCTCTGGCATAAAAACAGGAGCTAGCTCGATAACATTTTACCTTATCCTTGTTAAGGGGAGAGAATGACTTTAAAGCTGGAACTGTGGCTGTATTGCCTAAAAAGAAGAGATGAGCTGGGTTTGGTACAGATATTTCTGGGACAGGGTAGAGCAAAAGGGGCCCTTTTCTGTTCTGTCTGCTAATGTCAACTGCTCCACGACCTGTTCACCTCACCCAAGAACCTGCTGTGGGCAGAAGACTACTTAGTGCCATTCTGGATGTACTGCCTCAATGCAACAGGGCACCCCTCTAGCGATGTATTGCTGTTCTGGGTCTGCCCTACAATCCTACGCAGGCTGCTAAGGCTAGTTTGTGTTAAGAGACATGCATGTGTTTGTCTGATATATTAAAATGTACCAAATCCATGCTGTGTCAATTCTGCACATACAATGGAAAAATGCAGTCCAGGTACAAGACACATGGATAGGGACCTACTCAAATTGCAATTTCATAGATTTTGCAGAAATCAGGAAATCTCTGCAAAATTCATATGGAAAAAAAAACTTACTAAAAATAAAATGCTGGCTGCCCAGTGAGAGCCAGTAGTCCTTCCAGCCACACAGCCTGGCACAAAGGAGAGGGAACCTGGGGAGAGGGAACCAGCATTATGGTTATAGGTTAGGGGCTGACCCTCTTAGCAGCACAGAGGCAGAGAGGGATCTTGGAGTCATGATTGACTCCAGGATGAATATGAGTCACCAGTGCAACGAAGCAATAGGCAGAGCCAACCGCACCCTGTCATACATCAGCAGGGGCATCACTAACAGGTCCAGAGAGGCCTTGCTCCCCCTCTATGCGGCGCTGGTCAGGCCGCAGCTGGAGGACTGTGTCCAGTTCTGGGCGCTGCATTTCAAGAAGGACGTGGAGAGCCTGGAGAGGTCCAGAGGAGGGCCACTCATATGGTTGAGGGCCTCCATGGCCAGCCCTATGAGGAGAGGCTGAGGGTCCTCAATCTCTTCAGTCTCCACAAGAGGAGACTGAGGGGGGTCTTGTGGCTGCCTACAACCTTATCAGGGGCCAGCAGCAGGGACTCAGGGAAAGTCTGTTCACCAGGGCCCCCCTTGGAGTCACCAGGAACAATGGCCACAGGCTGAGAGAGGATAGGTTTAGGTTGGATATTAGGAAGAACTACTTCACTGTAAGGGTGGCCAGAGCCTGGAATAAGCTTCACAGAGAGGTGGTGCTCTCACCTTCCCTGGAAATCTTCAAGAGGAGACTGGATAGGCACCTGGCTGGGGTCTTATGACCCCTGCCACCCCCAGAGCTTCTTCCTGCCCATGGCAGAGGGTCGGACTAGATGATCTGTCTAGGTCCCTTCTGACTCATGGATTCTATGATTCTATGAAAGGGGGCTGCCAGCACAAAAGTAATCAGATAAGATGGCTGCCACCCCTGGGCCTAATCTCTAATTGGCTGGTGGTGGGGCTGCATTATGGACAGCCCTCTCAGCCAATCAGTGGCAAGGGGCAGGGGCTCTATGACGGACATCCCTGTCCACCAATCAGTGGCGGGGGCAGGGCCATTCAAGACCCTCAGCCAATCAGAGGTGTGTGGGGGCAGGGAGCTCCACCACACTAAGCCTGCAAAAATGGTGGCCTGCACCACAATATGCCTGTGAAATCAGCCGGTCAATTCCTCAAATTGGGTAGTCCCCTACACATGGATGTGATTCTAAAAAATACAATTGCATTGTATATATTGGATTTCTTAGAAAACATATTTAAGCCTATGTATTTTTAATTTTCTTTTCTAGGTCAGAAGGCTTTCGAAAAGTTCCTTACCATTACTATGAGCCAGGAAGAGATGAATGTGATGAATACTTTCTGCATGAAAATGCTCCCTATGGAGGCCATAGGTTTATTACCGAAAAGAAAGTATTTGCTAAGTGGGCCAAGAAGCACACAATAATATTTACGCACCCCAACTGGACAGTGTCTTGATGCTGGTTCCTTTAGTCCTCCTTTAGTAGCATAATATTACAAAATTGCCTCAGTTTACACTGATTCTGCTTACATCTGACTGGACTTTCTCAGACTACCTGCCGAATATAAAACTGAAAAATAAGATGATGATTCAGCTGTTAAGCAAAGTTTACCAGTCTGTGGAAGGCAGATGAGTTTCTTGCTTTATCTCTTAGGGCTTCACACCACATAATGCACTTTATACTTCAACTGGATTTTAATTCAAGACAATGGCAGTTTTAAGATGACAGTGGTTTTGTGTTATACATGTTTATGCACACAGAATGGTGGCCCTTCAATCTGGTCAATTGCCTTAGATAATTAAAATGAATATCTGCAGCCAGTGATCCTCAAGGTTTGCAGTACTAACAGCAATTTTCTATAAGGAAATGCAAGGAAATATAGGAGATTCTGAGGTAACTATGTCTAGTAATCTTATATATGACTAGAAAAATTTTAAGGACCACCAAAGTGTGTGTGTGTGTGCACATTGACATGCACCTAAACAACCAAGGGTATATTAAAATAAGAGATGGGATAAATATGGCTCCTGATCTGTAGAACATTCCCATATAAAAGGTTATTCATTGGGTAGAAGCCCATGAGTAACTCAGGAACTCTGAAAACTGACTTACCTCTATACTAGCTGGCCTGTAACTGTTTTGGACGATGTTTCAAACGTTTGCAGGTTTTAAGGGAAACATCTTTGTGTTAGCTAATATAAGTTCTCCTTCTGGGATATCAACCATAGTTGTACCAGGGTTGCAAAAGAAGTGGCTTTACAAGCAGAATAATAACATCTTGGAGAGAATTTGTGGGCAGAACTTGACGTTATATCTATTCTGCAGTCAAAAGACATAATTGCAGCTTGTGTGGCCAGACCCAAGTTAGTTTTAAACTGGAGCTCATTGCAGACTTGCTGCCCAAGTATTTACATGCATACCTGGGTGTTTTGTAACATATTCTGAATCGTGGGCTGTTGTGGCTGTGCTGCTAGCAGTACTAGAGCAAAGTATGTTAAATACTCACTCACATATGTCTAAGTGAGGTGCCGTCATACCATGGAACGCAGTCTAGACCTACCCTTATAGCGTGTTGTTCCTGACTTCTAACACCAGTTTGGACTGTTAACAGCCTGACAATTTGTTTCACTTTTCTGCTTCAGTTTGTCCATCTTTAAAAATGGGTATAGTATTTATCTACCACAGAAGGGCATTGGGAGGTGTAACTAATATCCATGAAAGACTTTGCAGATAAAAAAATGCAATGTAAGCATCTATTCTTATGGCAACACTGATGGTACCCAGCATCTTGTATGTTGGAAACCTAAGGAGACTGACAGCCATGTTAGGATCCGATCCTGCTGGGTGCAGGGCACTTCCTTTAATTGGGTGTCATTTTCAATAATGAGGTCCTCAATGTGTGGTGACTTTAGCTGAAATCGAGGAGTCAGCACCTCCCAGGTTTATCCCATCAGTCAAGCTACTCAAGAATTATCATATTTGTCCACCTCTACTTGAAACACTCTGAGTTTATCATCACTAAAAGATTTCAGTTGCAGCAGAATTATTTTTAATGTGATGTAAATCAACAAAATATGAGAGCTTTCTTAACTGTATTTAAATTAACGTGCAAGTCTCTTTACATTTGGAAGATTTCCTGGGAATATTTTAACTCCTGGAATTTCAGCTTCATCACTGTAAGAACCAATACTGTGAAAACTTGAAAGACGTATGTGTGGAACAGGCACACAGCTTTTACTCACACTGCTCAAACGTTAAATAACAGGAACTTTGTATGCTTTTGTAAATCGTAAAAAGGGGAAAGTAAAAACCTATTTTTACATGCAAGTATTTGTATACTTCCTGTATTTCCTATTGTATATTTGTATATATAAATCTATATTTTATATGTCTACAGCATACACGGTTTTTCTCATCAGCATCAAGTGCTACCCTTCCAAAACTCTTGTTTATTCATTAAGTTCTTGTTGTTAGTGATGATGTAGTTCGTTCTCCTTTTTTCTCAGACCAAATTCAAGCATTTCTCATTGTGGCATCTTTGCCCTTTTGTTTTTTAAGAGACCAGAGTTTTTGCCACATGTGATTTAGTGATTGCTTAGTTGCACACACTGCTTGGTATGCCGCGGACAAGATGTATCTTGGGGCAAGGCACTGGGCTAAGTCTTGGGAGATTTAGGTTCAAATCCTTGCTTTGTCACAGTCTTCTTGTGTGGCTTTTGGTAGGTCATTTGACCTCTCTGTGCTTTAGTTTCTCCTTTGTACAACAAGAACTATAATCTTTCCTTACTCCCACTCTTTGTCTGTCTTGTCTATTTGACTGTAAATTCTTTGAGGTGGGTACCATAATTCACGAAGTGTTTGTACAGCATTCATGAGAATAGGCTTCAACCTCATTTGTAACCTCTAATCACTACCGCAACATACAAATCATAATTATTAAAATGACTGCTTCCTGTTGTGGGAGTTTAAGATCTTCTATAGATCAAAACAGCAAGGAACGAAATCAAGTCAGTATGGGAAAAGGGTCATGGAAAGTTGAAGAGTTACAGCAGTGAACTAGATTTCCTGTTACAGGCAAATGTATCTTGTTAATTTTCAGATGGATGACTGGATAGACTGAAAGCTAATAATAAGAATTGCAATGCAAGATTTGAAGGAAGAACATGAGGATACTAGGGACATAACACCGGGATATTCTATGTATACTGGGAAAATGGACAGGTCATTTATGGGAAAAGGAGTCAGTCCTGTCCGATAAACTACGCTGATAGAATTTACAGACTAGTGGGGAGAGCAGGCTACAGCTAGGGGTAAAATATGAGTACAACCTGTGACAATGGGGAAGAAGAGCTTACATGTAGAGGAAGATCCATCATGGTAGATACTAGATTCCTCACAGCTATAGCCTGCAAGTCTCTTACAGTATACCATCACCCTCTCTGATGGACATAAACAGGACAGCACATTTAATATTCTTTCCACCTCTTATCAGTCTTGTTGGTCCTTTTTTCTGCAGCCAGAGCCTAAAAGAACACCTCTGATTGCATCCGATTGAGCATTATGATTGTTGAGACCCACTTTTCTCTCCATTGGTTTGTTTCATTTATATTTTATAGTGTATATAAAAGATGAAGAAATAAGTTTTGAAAAAATGCCTTCCTCCTTCCTTATCCAAAAATATGAATGAAAGTTGTTCCACAGTAAGTACAGAACAAGGACTTCATGTGTATATATTTATCTGCAAACAGAAAAGGCAATAGTGTTCAAGCCTGAAGGCATGATATTTTTATGATAATTGGAACTTGCTCAGATTACCATATATCTATTGTAAAATATATGAAGCTTTATTCTGAAAAATAAACAGGGTCAATTCAAATATTTAAATGAATTGTGTCCCAGAAAGAGGAAACAGGTGGTGTGCCACACTAAAAACCAGAAATGTCAAATTCTATTAATTTTCAAACTTGAAGACTTAACTTGTTTTAAAATTTGCTATGATGTACATCAGGGTGGGCAAATATGGTCCAGCCCACGAGGCCATTCTATCCGGCCTGCAGGGCCCCTAAAAAATTTAGAAAATTAATACTTCTCTGCCCTTGGTTCCTGTCAAAAATTACAGGAACTAAGAGCAGTAGGACCTAGGGAAAGCCCTGGCAGGCTCCCACAACAGCAGGGCCCACCCAGCCCCACCCCCCCAAGCTGGAAGGGGCTTGTGGCCT